CTCCTCAGCAGGCTATCTGAGGACACACAGATCATTAAAAATGCAGCGACGACCAATCTTTCAGAGGCACTCCGGAATCTAACAACCGCTTTTATTGGTGTCGGCTTCATGTTTTCATCGTCATGGAAATTAACCTGTATGCTATTTTTCTTGTTTAAACAATCCTTATTAATACCCTCTATCAAATGAGTGCAGCACTCACGGTAGATTTTATTCCACTAGTGTTAGCCTTGGCTGTAGTGCCAGTTATTTCTGTTGCTGTTCGAAAATTTGGGCGCTATCTCAAAGAACTTTCACACACAACCCAAGCTGCAGCTGCAGTAGCTGCGTCAATTGCTGAGGTTTGTATTAAATATATGATTTCCTCTATTTTTATTTGTTGAGAAATTTTAAGTACAAAAAACAGGCAGGAAAGCATGGCAAGGTCATTATCCATTATTTGATATTCTATCCTTCATGAGCTACTTTAATGCTTAGGAATCTTTTGGAGCCATTCGAACGGTTAGATCATTTGCTCAAGAAGGTTATGCAATATCGAATTACTCTGAAAAAGTTGAAGAGACACTGAAGCTTGGACTAAAACAAGCTGTGAGTTTCAGGATGCTACCCTTGCTTCTTCTCTCTCTCTCTCTCTCTCACACACACACACACACACATGTGCATGAACAGCCATTCAGAAGCTAAACTTGCATAATTGATGCTGTTTTCTTCAACAGAAAGTAGTTGGCCTATTCTTTGGAGGACTAAACGCTGCATCCACATTGTCCGTTATAATTGTGGTGATTTATGGTGCCTACTTGACAATAATGGGTTTTATGACTGCGGGTTCTCTTACATCCTTCATCCTTTATAGTCTCACAGGTACCTGCTCAACGTTTGCGGCTTGCCCTATTCTCAAGTTTTGCCTAGTTTCTGCTCAATCGTTGGTCTCAATACGCAAATACCTGAAACTTAGGGAGAAATTTAACCAATATTTCTAACCTCTCTGTAAAAGTATGTCAAAAGCAGCAATGATCTTTAAATCTGATCTATATCCATTGTCATAGAACATAAAAATAAAAGTGTTAAAACGATGAAAGCATTTGTTATTAGTCAAAATCTTGGTAAGAGGCTATTTTTGTTCAATGACTTATTGACCGTGACTTTTCTTTCTCATTCTACGTATGATGATTAAATCATATCAATCGAAGATTGCTGATTTCTGATAAATAACATTCTAAGCTTAACCTATTCTGTAGTTTATAAATAAATTGATTTTATGACAAAAGCTTGTCACTAAAATTTTCATATATATTTATCTCTGCCTGCAGTTGGATCCTCAGTTTCCTCTTTATCAGGATTATATACAACTGCCATGAAAGCTGCAGGGGCAAGTAGGAGGGTTTTTCAGCTCTTAGATCGTGTCTCAAGCATGCCAAAATCAGGAGACAAGTGCCCAGAGGGGTTAGTCATATTACAATATCCTTGAAAACTTCCGTTAATATTATGCTAGGAGAAAGACAAAGTTGTGTAATTGTGTTGAAATCAAACATACAATTACCATTTTTGTGAAAACATCAATTGCTTCTAATCAATGATGTTGTATTTTCAATCACAGAAATCCAGATGGAGATGTGGAATTAAATGATGTCTGGTTTGCTTATCCCTCTCGACCAAGTCATATGGTACTTAAGGTAATGGTTTCTCTGTGACGCATATACGTGAATTTGAACATGTCACCATTTCAAACTAAAATGTATTCTCCTCTTCTAACTAATCGCTGTTGTGCATCAACTAAGAATGTACATTTATACCATGGTGAAGGATTTGGTTTAGATCAACATCACCATGGTACTTCATGATTTAAATCTGATGACACTGTTTGAATTGCAGGGAATAACATTAAAATTAAAACCTGGTTCAAAAGTTGCCCTTGTTGGACCAAGTGGCGGTGGAAAAGTAACATCATTATCCTTTTCCCTCTTACTGTTTTCCAATTTTCTCTGTTAGAGTATTTCAGAGGTCGATGTCATTTTCTCCATCTTGTAGGAACTGTACTAATAAATGAAGCTAAATTTCTTATCTGTTACAGACCACGATAGCAAACTTAATTGAGAGGTTTTACGATCCTCTGAAGGGAAAGATTTTGTTAAATGGGGTTCCTTTAGTGGAAATATCACATGAATATCTTCACAAAAAGGTAATCTTCTGTTTCTGATAACTATCAAATTATATGGATTGCCTTCATAAAAACTCTAGTCAAGTTCTTAACAGTGAGCCACCGGACTACTATGATGCCATTTCAAAAGCTACATTGACAAATAAAAGAGAAAATAGGTTTTTCAAAAGCTTATCATCACCAGAAAACATGATTAGAACAAACTTGTCCTTTGCAATTTCCATCATAATTGACTCCTGGACCAGTCAATGAGGCACTTTGCTGATCCGGATATTCAGCCCCCTGTATAATAAGACAGCAATGCATCTGTTTATCAACTTTATTTACAACTTTTCACCAACCATGCAACTTTTGTGGTCTTAAACTAGAATGAAATGAATGAAAGCATGACATAGTTTAAGCTTTCCATCAACCTTATAAGATGGAAAGGAATTGTGTAAACAATTATTTTAAGTGTATCATTTCATCCTTTCCGCTTCATGTTATAGATACTATATCCTCTTAATTCTTGATATAAATGTTTCAACATTTTTATCCTTTTTGATCCTCAATCACGTTATCCATGGTTTTCACAAAAATTTGATCATTTGCATGTCTTTAACACCCCTACTCTCATTTTCTTTCTGGAATACAGATAAGTATAGTCAGCCAGGAACCTGTTCTTTTCAACTGTTCTATAGAGGAGAACATAGCCTATGGGTTCAATGGAAAAGCCAGCAGTGCTGAAATAGAATCAGTAACTGTGAGTTATGATTATCTTCTAACTTCTTCCTCTTTTACCAATATCAATAAGCCATCTTCACAGATTTCAGTTTTCTATGCATGTACGCTGATAATGTAAAATGTTGCAGAAAATGGCTAATGCTCACGAATTCATAGAAAAATTTCCTGAAAAGTATCAAACAGTTGTTGGAGAACGTGGCTTGAGGCTCTCGGGGGGCCAGAAACAAAGAGTAGCAATTGCAAGAGCACTATTAATGAATCCAAAAGTTTTGCTGTTGGATGAAGCCACAAGTGCTCTTGATGCTGAGAGTGAATACCTTGTCCAGGTGAGACTGAAGTTGCTTATTAACATTCAAGATTATAGGTTTCCATTCAAGAACAAAGGAAGTATTACAGTAGTCCTAACAATTCTAAATACGATACGGTGACATAACACAAAAACAACTAAAGTTTTAGAAAAAACTGTATATGAGTTTAATTAAAACAAAAAATGTATTTTGTGTTTAGTGTTGTGTCAATACAAAATTTTCATGTTTTACACGAAATAACGAGGATACACAAATTGCCAAGTCAAAGAAAAAGTGAACCCTATCTCTCCTAGCTATTCTATCTTCTTTTGCTCAGAATATTACTGTTTCGCTTAGCTGGCAATTTCAAATATCTTGCAAACTCAAAAGATGTGTTTAGTTGATTTTATCTGTGTATTCAATCATGCCTCTCTTTCATAATAATACCCTAACTAATTTTCGTGCACCGGATAGGATGCTATGGATTCATTGATGAGGGGTAGGACAGTTCTGGTCATAGCACACAGGCTTTCAACAGTCCAAAGCGCAGACAGTGTAGCCGTCATATCCGATGGACAGATAGCTGAGAGTGGCACCCATGAAGAGCTTCTCAGCGAGAATGGCATCTACACCGCACTTGTTAGGAGGCAACTACAAGGATCAAACTCAAAAATCTAGTTTCAAATGGTCAAACAATGTCCATATACTTTCTCTTGATAAGACTACTTCTTGGCTACTTCTCAAATGTTACAAACTTACAATTGTAAAATTAAATATCTCGTTTATTAGATAGCATATTTCAGAGGAAACCGGCAAATAGTTCTGAGATGAAGGGAAAAAAGAATGTCCTCATTCGGCAGAATACATGTTAAACAAAGTGTAGTTAGATTGTCCTGAATTCCTTGAAACAAATCATTGCATCAATCTGGTATGGAAATTTGCTTTGTATAATAAATTATTACTATATAATCAGATCCTCTCAACCTCAAAATCGAAGTTTTATTTTTATAAGCCATAATGAGTTTTTGGTTTTTCCAAATATGTTCTTTCCAAAGTCAATTTAAGCAGACTTGTTTATGTTAGATTTAACGAATTTATGAAAGACTATTTTTTACAGTCTTTCAGCAAATTCAAACTCAAACAACAAAGAAAAGAGCATACTCTCTTTATCATTTGACGTAACCATCTGTAGGTAACAAATCAAAGTTCAATCACCTAAAACTATGACTTCCCAGGCAAGAACTGTGGCATGGAGCTAAGAATTGAGCTTTATAGATAGGAAGAGTGATTGCAGGTATCAAGATTTAAAATCTAATTTTATTGGATATCACCTATTAAGGTAGTTACATGAATCAACTGACCTAAGTTCCAGATTCGAAATTATCATTTCATCGAGCAACAAAATCTAAACACCAAATGGCAAAATCTCGGCAATGCTCACTCCCCTTTGACCTTGCTTCTCTCTTATTAAGCACCATTCTTTTCTATGCTTAACATTTAAAATATATAAAAATTCTTCAATATGATTGTGCATTTGGTGCTTAGGCTAACCTCTTGCATACTCAATTCCTATTATTTGACTAGAAGGGTAAAATGAATTGTTTGCATCTCTTCTCTTCTAAACGGAGCCTCATGAAACATGCCATAAAACCAACAATGCACTATAATAAAATACCAATAGTTAAATATTTGAATAATTCAGTAGCCAATTAATTGAATTAAATCGATTGATTGATTTAATTATGAAATTTGAACACCCTTAGCAATGACTTTACAAAACAATTTCCAACTCCCCATTACCTCTTTTGTTTATCAATTTCTTATCCTTTAACATGGGGAAGAAACAGAACTTAGATTGGACCTCAAGCTCCATTTCTCATTCAGGCAGTGAAAGAGTACCTCTTTTACACAAGGAAGTTTGTTTTGTTACTCTCTTATATACCCATCCTAACATATACTATGTATGATCTTGTTTGGTTTTTTTGTTACGTTTTCTAGGATTCTTTAAACGTTCTTGTTAACTTTGAACCCTTTTTTTCTAATGTTCAATTCTGAAACACCAGCATTTGTTTTATCAACATGTTCCCATGCATGAATATATGGTGTAGTATTTTGAGTTATGATGCATAAATTTTTTTGTTCTAAACTATTTTTTGTTTATTTCTTTGATCTTTCTGTTTTTGAGTCTAGCTCTGATGATCAGGTCTTTGTTGTCGTGATAGTCACGTCTTCCGAATATCCTGTAGCTGTTTTAGGCTGAAATAAGTGAATATTTGGGTTTTCTTAGTCTCAGATACTGAAAACTCTCACAAATTACTGAAACTCTCACAAATTTTCACTATCACAGACTCAAATTCCCTCAGAATCCATAAAAATTAAAATGCTCATGTCTTGAATTGCTTTGACTCTTCAATTTTCCTCAACCATACGAGTCGAGAACATATCTGAAGCCTCAATACGAGTGTATTTCACGAATAAGATGATGAAAAGCCTCAAACTCAAATCAGATTATTGTCAGTTCCCCTTTTCTCTGCCCAAGGGTGTTTGTGTATGTTAAAAGGAAAAGCCAGTAGGTAGAAATACACTGAAAGATGACTATGTAAAATGCCTTTCTATTTAGTAAAGCAGGTTAGTTTAACAGAAACAATTAATGGAATCTATCTTTTTTATTTTAATACTTGAGGCTACCATGATTCGAATCTTGGTCATTGGAATTAAGAGTCCAACACTCTACCAAACCACACGGCTGTTGGATAATGAAATCAATCTTGATTCCATTAAAAAGAAAACAAAGTACCACTAGTTTAATTCACTTGAATTAGTGCAGGCAAGTAAGCAGACAAATGATGAGCAGTCACCAAGCCGCCCTGTGTCAGACCTTGAGCAAGGCAATGCTGTTGAGGTGGTGGATGTTCATGTTATTTGTCCTATACTTTTATTTCCCAGTTGTGAAGCATATTTGATTTTGATTTGAAATTTTTCAGGAAACCAATGTTGGATTGTCCAGAGTATTTTCACTGGTTAGTCAGAATTTGCTCCTTGTTCTCTTTGTGCTATGTAGATATGCCTATTAAGTTGGAACAATTTCTTCAATTTGTAGGCAAAGCCAGATGCTGGGAAGCTAATTGCTGGCGCCATTGCACTTTTGATAGCATCCGCATCAGGTCTCTTGATTGTAAGTTGCTCCTTTCTGTCTCTATTGGGTGTTGAAATTGGGTAAAAAATCATTGCTAAATGATAACAGAAATGTACCATTCAGGAGTAGGGTTCGCCCGTTTATGAATATCTATATATGTTAAATAGACAAATGTTCTTTTTTAGAACTGTGTATGCCCCTCTACTGTAACAAGGCTAGAGCTTCTCATGTAAATCTCAGTGAAATTTGTTTTGAGATGAGTGTTTTATATCAGTCACCGTTCATTTTTGTTTTCATCCATTATGTCTCTAAGAATGTCCTAGTAACATATCAAAATTTCATAGAAAAGTAGATAGCATTAATTCATCTCTTTTATGGTAATACGGAAACGGCGATTTTAAAGACACACCCTTCACGTTGGCCTGACGCATTCAGGATTTATCTCTCGAAACCATGATAGACAAAAAAAAAAAAGAGAGAGAGAGAGAGAGAAAGAGAGCTTTCCTTCTTACCAACTAGACTAACCCTTACGGAGCAATGAAATGCTTATTTTGCAGCCTAAATATGGGGGATTAATTATAGACATTGTTTCAAGAGAAACAAAGACACAGGAACAGCAATCAGAAGCTTTGGATGCCATCAAGAACACCATAACATATATTGTGCTGATAATTGTAGTAGGGTACTTTTCCTTTTCTTTTTTGCTTATATGATACACGTTTTTTCCCCCCAAAATTTACATTGGTTGCTTCTAGTTTTTTTCTTTTTTAATTATTTGGAATTTTCAAATCGTAAGACATTTGGACCAAATAGTAACCAGACGAAAGAAATATGCATCTGAAACATGTTCCTTGGCATGACTACAGTAACGGTGAAGAGCATATTCTTGTTTAGGGATGTTCAATGATGTTTCCATTTGACCTAATTGTTCAAATGCTTCAAGATATACAAGGCAGTGTCCATTCCTGGTCCATGTTAAAAACAGTGTTAATTTTTCTGAATTATTCCGCATTTTTTTGCTCAATATATTTTAGATGTTGACCTTACGGCCAAAATTTTACTAGATTCTCAATTTCACTGACATCTCTACAATTCTCAGAGAACTAGTAAGAATCAATTCAAGAGTTATGAATATCTCATATCATAAATAATGTGCTTCCACATCTCCTTGGTGAACCATGAGTAAATTTGACTTTTGTATCATTTATCTGAAAAAGAAAAACCAAAAGCAATCCCAGCAATCCATCTAAGATGAGAAACCTTCAAAACCCAAAAACCCAAAACCTAATGTATCCATAATTTAAAAGTAAAATTTAACTCTTGAGGTGCATTTAATGCCTTTAGATGAATGTCAAGTGCATGCTGAACTTCAAGTTAATCTGTTTAATTAAAGATTAAAATGGGTTTTAGAATAAAATTTTAGAAAGAGAATTCTGTATCAAACTGTGTAGGATGTAAAATTTTAAATTTAGTTGAAGACTAGTGCTAACAGGAGAATACTACATTTCCAAGAATTTTTGCATCTCCATTTCCCGGTCATATTATACCTGAATCCATGCTTCATAATCCAAAACTATCACTTGATATTTTAACTAGAATGGATTGAGTCCGGACTCCGGACTAGTTGGTTGAGCTTATATCAGTTGATTACTAACAGAATTTAAACTGAAAATTTGATTATAAAGGTTCTTTTCTCCCCATCCTTTTAGGCCTCTATGCAGAGCAGTTCAAGCATGGTTGTTTTCTTCCGCCTGTGAAAGGATTGTAGCTCGTTTAAGGAAAAACTTGTTCAGTCACCTTATCCATCAGGTAAGGCCAATGATATCAGCAGCTAGTTGCAAGATATACCAAGTTGACCATTATTAATGTGGGTTTCAAATCAATGGTTCATAACATCCTTGATTCTTATTACCGATACGATTCCAAGCATCACTTTCAGAGGCAGTCTAAGAGACCAAAGATTTGCAATCTATTCTGCTCTTTGTTCGTAATAATCTTCGCTCAGAACTAAATGTTTCAGCATTATTGATCCTAAAATGGTGCAACAGGAAATAGCCTTCTTCGATGTTACTTCAACAGGCGAACTCCTCAGCGGGCTCTCTGAGGACACCCAGATCATTAAAAATGTTGCTACAACCAATCTTTCAGAGGCACTTCAGAACCTAACAACTTTCATTGTTGGCATAGGCTTCATGTTTTCATCATCATGGAAATTAACATGTATGTCATTTTGCTTGTTCAACTAATTTTGATTATTCTTCTTCTATAAAAGTAGTGTAGCAATCACAGTAGCTATTAATTGTGCTTAGTGCTAGCCATGGTGGTAGTTCCAGTTATTGCAGTTGCCATTCGAAAATTTGGGCGCTATCTCAAACAACTTTCGTACACAACACAAGCTGCAGCTGCGTTAGCTGCCTCGGTTGCTGAGGTTTGTAAGAATTATAAATGATTTCCTTTGGATAGCCCTGCATGGTTTTTATGCAATTTAGAATTTGCATATTTTATATAGAGACAGTGTGTATATCATACTACATTATTATTGTTTTGTGACAAATGAGATTGTTTGGAACCATTTATTGGTCTAGATACTTCATAATGTTAGAATCCCATTGGTCTGGTTTCAAAAATAATATATCAATATTCAGATCATAGTGAAGAACTCATAACAATACGATGTAGATATTTAAAAGTAATTTTTGTTAAGAGTTAAGAACAAGAATTTGCAATTTCACATGCAATAATATGCTCAGAAGATCCTTCCCTCCTACCAGATCTCTAAACTGAAATGGGGGTGAAAAAGAGGGAAGACTTAAAGTGTGTTTGCTTATTTACCATAAATTCTACCATTAACAGAGTGGATTGCAAAACCAATTTGCTTGTCCAAATGCTAATAGCAAGGAACTTGGGGATATAGTTCATAAAAAAACCAGCTGTATTATCAGATTGAAAGCTAACTTTACCAGGCTGAATGAACAAAAGAAAAAAAAAAAAGATATATTTTCATTTTAAAAGTATCCATCACAACTAGGTACTAAAATATGTTACTCTACATCCATTCATATGTACTTCAAAACTCAAATGCATTTCTGAAGTGGTCTGCTTAAAATCCCAGGATATATTTTCCATATCATGTTATCATTGACATTTCGAGTGTCATATGCTAGTAGGCAAGCTTGGTAAGATTTGTTTGTCATAACATTAAATTCTGTCCTTCATGAGCAACCTTGATGTTTAGGAATGTTTTGGAGCCATTCAAACAATTAGATCATTTGCTCAAGAAGGTTATGCAATATCAAAATACGCTGAGAAGGTTGATGAGACACTGAAGCTTGGACTCAAACGAGCTGTGAGTTTCAGGATGCTCACCATTTTTCTCTCTCACTCACACAAGCATTTATATTTAAGATATTTGGAAAGGAAAATTGCATAAGTTTTACTGTTTTCTACTACAGAAAGTAGTTGGTCTATACTTCGGAGGACTGAACGCTGCATCCAAATTGTCTATTATCATTGTGGTGATTTATGGAGCCTACTTGACAATAATGGGATTTATGACTGCAGGCTCTCTTACATCCTACATCATTTACAGCATCAAAGGTGCTCTCTCATCACTGTTCACTTGGAGCCTAATTAAGTTTTTGACTAGTTTTATGTTCAATCTGCAATTATGGTCTGAGCAAATTCACTAAACTATTTTTTGCACTGCAGGTTTGTGACAAACAACCTCCTACTTAACCTATTCAGCTGTTTATAAACAGCTTGGTTTCATGGAAGATTCTTGTCAATAAAATTTCCATGCATCTAAATCTCTCTGTCTGCAGTTGGGTCCTCAGTATCCTCATTATCAGGATCATACGTATCTGCTATGAAAGCTGCAGGGTCAAGCAGAAGCATTTTCCGGCTCTTAGATCGTGTCTCAAGCATGCCAAAATCAGGAGATAAGTGCCCAGTGGGGTTAGTAAAATTACAATATCATTAAATTCAAGTTCCAATAAAGTCTTATGGCAGGCTGTAACACAAAATTGTATGACAATGTGGATTGCATTAAAGCAATGATGTTTATACCGTTAATGGCAGAAATCCAGATGGAGATGTAGAATTAAATGATGTCTGGTTCGCTTATCCTTCTCAACCGAATCAGATGGTACTTAAGGTAATGGTTTCTCTGCTAGTGAACTTAACCATGTCACACCAAACTGAAAGTCTGAAAGGTATTCTCCTCAAATAAACTAGGCCATGTTGTGCCTCAATAATGTGCATTTATACAATTGTGATGGATTTGATTCAATCGGTCCTTTTTAGGCTCTACATATTGAGTGCTTAAACTTGAATAAGAACAATGCTAAACATGGGGGAAATGAAAAATAAATTTTTCTTATTGGCTCTTTTTTCTCCCCAAAATTGTTAATAATTTGAAAATTTATCAGTACATTGATTGGCATCGCTCAACCCAAAGAATGGTAGGGAACAAATTAACTATAGAATGAGTATTTCCTTTTGGAAGTTTGTCTTTGTATCAAACATCCCCAGAGCTAAGTAAATGAATTTTAGCAATTGTCAACTACATAATCTAAAACTGATTGGACTGTTTCATTTGCAGGGAATAACATTAAAACTGAAACCTGGTTCAAAAGTCGCCCTTGTTGGACCAAGTGGTGGTGGCAAAGTATTATTGCCATCCCTTTCCCTTTAGAGTATTTCTAAACAGTTTTTATTATTTTCTCCATCCTAGACTAATATATGAAACTAAATGTACAATCTGTTGCAGACAACGGTAGCAAACTTAATTGAGAGGTTTTACGATCCTCTAAAGGGAAAGATTTTGTTAAATGGAGTTCCTTTGGTGGAAATTTCACATGAATATCTTCATAGAAAGGTCATCCTTTTTCTGATATTCTCAATGTCTGCATGTCCTTACAAACTCTAGTCAAGTTCATTACAGCCTACCATAGTAGTGGTTTCTATTTCTATCTTATGCTATTCTATTCATGATGTCATTTAAAAATGTGGCCACCATCAGTAAAAAAAAAAAAAACACATTATTTGAACAAGCTTACCTGTTTTTCTACATGAGAGCTTTTCATATGCATTTGTTTATCAACTTTATTCACAACATGTCAGCATCCCTGCAACTTATGGGGTCTTGAACTAGAACAGAATGGATCGAAGCATGACATACTTGAAATTTTCTACCAACCTTTCAAGATGGAAGGGAGATGAGTGGAAAATTAGATGAAGTGTATTAATTTATCCTTTTGTATCCAATAATTCCTCCGAACGCTTGATTTAAATGCTTAAACTTTTGCTTCATTTTGGTTAAGAACCGCATTATGTAAGGTTTTTACCAAAATTTCATCATTTGGATGTCCTGATATTTCTTAGGCACCCTTACTCTCCTTGTTTTCTGGAATACAGGTTAGTATAGTAAGCCAGGAACCTGTTGTTTTCAATTGCTCTGTAGAGGAGAACATTGCCTATGGGTTCAATGGCAAAGTCAGCAGTGCTGAAATAGAATATGTGGCTGTAAGTTATGATAATCTTTACCTTTTACCAAAAACAACGAACCATCTTCACAGATTTAAGTCTTATATGTGCATATGCTGAAAAACTAAGATGTTGCAGAAAATGGCTCATGCCCATGAATTCATAGAAAGATTTCCTGAAAAGTATCAAACGCTTGTTGGGGAACGCGGTTTGAGGCTCTCAGGAGGTCAGAAACAAAGAGTAGCAATTGCAAGATCGCTATTAATGAATCCAAGAGTGTTGCTTTTGGATGAAGCCACAAGTGCTCTGGATGCTGAGAGTGAATACCTAGTTCAGGTGAGATCTGCAGTTGGTTACAAGCATTCAAGCTTTGTCACTATCAACTAATATTCCTCATTCTCTTGCTAGGATGCAATAGATTCGTTGACGACGGGTAGGACTGTTCTAGTCATAGCACACAGGCTTTCGACTGTCAAAAGCGCAGACTGTGTCGCTGTCATTTCTGATGGTCAGATAGCTGAGATTGGCACTCATGAAGAGCTTCTCAAACAGGATGGTATCTACACTGCACTTGTCAGGAGGCAACTACAAGAATCAAACATCAATATCTAGTTCAAAGTCAAACAAATGCCTGAATACTAATCGTAAAATATTTTTGTATATGGGATATTCATCTCAGAATCTTTAATGAAACTAGTTGAAAAGACTACCACCCTACTACTTCTCAGATTTATACAATAGTAAAATAAAATATCTCAATTACCTGATAGCCGATAGCACTTTTTTTTTTTTTTTTTTTGAGGGGGGGAGATAAAACTCAAATGAGTCTGAGATAAAGAATGCTCCAGTTTGCAGAACGCTTGTGAGAAAAAAAGTAGTTTGATATATGTGGAAATCTAATCTTGATTAGTTGACTTTATTTATTTTAGTTAAGTCTCTTATTTTTAGAATAATAAGTAGTTTGGGTTAATTCACCAAATACATTAGATATTTTTTTATTATGTGTAGAGAGTTAATTAGAGTAAATTACTCTTTTGATTAATTGTTTTCAACGCATAAAAATATTGGGTTTTAAGGTTGAGAATATTCAGTTTTTAGCTTATATATTTTCATGTAATTCTAGCATTGTAATAAGAAAAATATAAGAGAATAAAATAGTTTTATTCTAGAGATTTCTTCATGGTATTAAGCCAAGATTTTTTTTTGTTGCCTTTTCTAAATCTATCATGTGATAGACTTCTTCCATACCTGCCTACACATGATGGAAGCCTATTAGTGTGGTATTATCCCACATCTAATAAATATTGAATTTCTTGTAGCCTTATATTTAGGTTGGGTCCCTCCGCTTACTAACAATTGGTTTTAAATTAAATGCTTAATATGGTATCAGAGCACAATTTGAACATTTAAAAATTTTTACTCAGAGTCCAACATAGCTAGCAGCAAAAGAGAGCTAGCATTGGAGGTTACCTCTAAACCTAGAGCTAACGTTTTTTAATCATTGTATAAAATTACCATTCATATTTGATTTTCAATCATTGTAGAACATTGTAGGAGGTTACCTTTAACCCCAAATCTAGCATTTCTCAATCACTGCAGAACATTACCACTTATATTCGATTCTCAATCACTGTAGAACATTACCACTCATATTCGAATAGGTTCTTTAAATTAGAGAAATTAAATTCATAGATCCTAGATTCCAAAGTTTTAGACCATATGACTGGGTATGCATCTATATTTAAGAAATACAACACATGTCATGAAAACTTTACAATTCGAATTGCTGATAGGTCATTTTCAATACATGTTCTATTATTATTTCCAAAGAGATAACACTTGATTTTGTTATGTTTGTCCTAAATCTAAGTTGCAATCTACTATCTATAAGCAAACTTACAAGAGACCTTAAGTATGTTACTAAATTTTCTCTAAATATGTGTGAATTTCAAGATTTGAATTTGGGAAAAATGATTGGCAATCCTAAGACGTGTGCAAGACTTTATATCCTAAGAGCTAATAATTTTGAAAGATAATATCAAAAGACCTCTTATGTGGCTTTATCCTTTAGTAATAATAAAGATAATATTATCATGTTGTGGCACTATCAGTTAGGTCATTTAATTTTTTGTACCTCAAAAGGTTGTTTCCCTTATTATTCAATCAAAATTCTAACAACTTTCAATGTAAAGCTACCAACTATCTAAACATACTTATATCATATATCATAATCAGCCTTACAAATCATCATATCCATTATCAATGATACATAGTGACATTTGGGGTCCTCCAAATTAAATAACATTACTGACTTTAGATAGTTTGTCACATTTATTGATGATCACACTAGGGTTATTTGGGTATTCCTTATGAAGAAAAACCCAAGTGGGCCAGCTATTCCAAAACTTCAACAATATAATCCAAACTTAATTCAAAATCAAAATTCAAATGTTAAGAACCGATAATGGAAGAAGATACTACAATTCAATTCTTTGATCATATCTGATGAAGCATGGTATAATTCATCAAAGCTCATGTGTCGACACTTCTCAATAAAATGACGTTGTTGAAAGAAAGAATCAACATTTGTTGGAAATTGCAAGATCTCTCATGATAGCTGCCTATGTACCTAAGCATTTTTAGGGTGAAACTATTCTTATTGTTACATATCTTATAAATAAAATGCCTTATTAAGTCCTGAAATTTCAAAGCCCTTGCCAATTTTTTCTCAGTTCTTATTTTCACATTCGAATCATATTGTCTATTTCTATTAAAGTGTTAGGATGCATTACATTTGTTCTTACCAACCAACAAAATCAAAGCAAATTAGATCCTAAATCCATCAAATGCATATTTCTCGGGCACTCCCCGAATCAAAAAAGATACAAGTGTTACTCACCGTAACAAATAAATTCTACCATTCCATGAATGTTTCCTCTTTTGAAAATTAACCTTACTTTCTCTAAACTACCATTCAAAGGGAGAATCCAATCACACGAGAATATTAGCTTTGGGAAGATCCTATTATCAAACCACCAAACACTTCGCAAACACATTTTTATGTCCAAAACATCCAACTAGATCTTTCCAACTCCCTTTCAAGTCCAAAACACCCAACCAAATCCTCCAAACCAAAAGTCCACACAAGGAAAACAAACAAAGAATTAATTGTCTATTCAAAAGAAAAAAACTCAAAAAGATATGAGAGAATGTACACCTTCAAAGCAAAACCAAAGAATTTGAACCAATTCTAAAGATACTTGAAACTAACATAGGTAACACTCTTACTGAATCTGATTCAATTGAATATTTTAATGATCTTGATCAACCGATTACTCTAAGGAAATTTGTGAAATCATGTACTCAACACCCAATCTATAATATGATTTCTTATGAAGGTTTATCACCCAGTTATTGGGCTTTTTGTTATCACACTAAACAATATGTAGATTCTTAATAATATTCATGAAGCGCTCATGCAATCAAAATGGAATATGGCTATTTTGAAAGAAATCAAGGCCTTAGAAGAGAACAAAATATGGGAGATTTCAAAACTACCCAAAGGAAAAAATCTAGTTTGGTACAAATGATTTTTACTATCAAGCACAATACAAATGTGTAGACACCGATTTTGTTTGGGTCTACTAATTTCAATTTTTGTTAATAATAATTTTTTTTAATAAATAATATTGTTTAATTAAAACTAAAAATTAATTAAACAAAAAAAAAAAAGAGAAACAGAAAATGGTAGAAAGCAGGGCAGCTGATGCTTGGCACCAGCCACTCTGCAGCCACCACTAACCACCTACGCTCTTACCTTACAGCCACCCTACAACCTACCCTAGCCATCCCTACAGCCACCCTACTCCACCTAATCTTTAAAAACCCCTCAGCTTCTTCCCCTAAATGGAGCTCTCTCTCGGACAGATCCAAAACATCTCCCAAATCCCCACCTATTAGAAAACAAAAAAAAACCTAAACAAATCCACAAAAAAAAAATAAAACACAGTCCTCCCCGCAATGAGGAACCTCAGCACCAGAAAGCCCTGTAAACAAGCAAAGAAATCATCAATTTAAAAAAAAAAGAAAGAAATAGAAAGGAGACGAAAGCTTTAAGCCCTGATCTACTCGATCGGGCTGTTTTGACAAAACGGATGTTGGATCTGAAAAGAGGGCGTTGAGGTGAATGTTTAGGAGTCTTTTTGGTGTTTTTTGTCGACTGACGACAACCACTTGCCACGGTCGACGCGACGACTGGCATGGTGACAAGAGCACCGGCGATCTAATGCCGGTGGAACCCATAGAGATCTTATGGAGCTTTAAAATTTTTTTGGCAGAAAAGATGAAATGAAATAGAAAAAAAAAGTTGACTTTTATATAGAAGCCAAAGTAGCAAAACGACGTCGTTTTGCTTAAAGAGAAGATCCGGGCGTAGACCCGGATCCGACCCAGGATCCGCGTAAACCAACCCGTTAACCCATCTCAGCCAACCTACAGTCGATCTAGATGAACCCTCAGCGAACCAGTTTGAACCGCCTCAACCGAATCGCACGCCAAACTGAACCATTTTTTATCCAACCAAACTGCCGTTGACCAGTCCAGTTTAGGTAAAAAAAATTTTTTTAATTTTCTAATTTTTTATATATTATTATTTTTTTATTTTGAGTTTTTTTATATATTTATGCATGATAAGTTTTAAAATTTTTTAGAATATTTTTTATTTTTTAATAATAATAAAAATAAAATAGTAAAATAATGACTAAAAAAATATTTAAAATGCTTAAAAAAGAATAATAATAATAATCTAAATAATAATAATAATTATTATTATTATTATTTTCTCTACCTAGATGTTGAAGGGAATAAAATCATATTCCTAAAAATAATTTCGTCTAGATGTTAGGAAATTATTATTAACAAATTTTCATAAAAAAGAAGTATATAATAAAATTTTAATTAATTTCAAAAATTATAAAAATCAAACTTGCTCCTTAAATCTACTTAGAAGTTGGAGATTTTTAGAAATGTTCATGTTTTGTAAATAAAAAATAAAAAAATCTAAACCTTAAAACCTTCAAACCATAAAAATTAAATCTCAAACCTTCAAACCCTATAATTAAACCCCAAACCTCCAAACCCTAAAATTAAATCCTAAATACTCTAAACCCTAAAACCAAAACTTCAAACCTCAAACTTTAAAATCAAATCCCTTAAACACTAAATCTTAAATTTCAAAACCCTAAGATTTTAAAACCCCTAAAATCCAAAATCCCTTAATTCCTAAACCTTAAAATTCTAAATTCTAAAAACCCCAAATTCGGTATGCATTCCTGAATCATTACCAAAAAAATCATTTAACCCTTAAAACCTCTATTCAAGCCCTTACTCAAAACATTTTAAAAATCTTAAGGACATATGTGAAAATCTCATTTAAAATAATTTGTTCTCGAATGCCGCCTAGATGATGGGGTATTTAGGAAACTTTATTTCGTTAAGTTTTTTCACACGAATTCTTAATTTGCATTAATAATAAGATTAATAAATAAAAATATAATAGTAAATTAGGATCTTAAATATAAACAGTCGCACCTAAGCTCTGTCTAGATGTTGAA